ACTCCAGCTGTGAAATTTGCATTTGGTGTGAAGGTACCTTTAAAAGGAGCGAAATTTATAAAACTCAATTAATAACAAAATAAACCAGACTTAGCAACTAAGCCAGGCTTTTGAACTACAGTGTAATTGTTTCATGCGTTTTCTGTTTTATAAAAGCACCAACCAGAGGAGGAGCCAAACCATGCATGTTATTATATGTAAGATATGTGACACGTTAAGTCAACAAAATTAGCCCAGCTCAATAGGATCTAATTTGTGAGGCTATTGACCAGTTTTACAGCCAGAATGACGAGGGTTCCGTTTTAGTTTTAGCTCAGAATCTCCTAGTGCGTCTTGCAGAGGGCGTGCGGTGGTGTGTGGGAGGGAGAGTTGTAGGTAGTTTGTGGTCTCAGGTGTGGCTAAAGACCCACATAAAACTCAGTAGAAATAGCGGGGCCAGCTTTAGTCAGGTGCCACAGAGTCTTCCCCTGGGTTTGAAGCAGGTATTTATTTAATGAGAAAATTGAATCAGGTCCACCTCCTTGCCATATACTTTAAAGGTAACCCATGGTGGTGATGAGGATATGGAGCTTGTCTGCTGAGATATCTGTCATGTTATAATGTACCATTGGTCTGAGTGGACCTGTGCATCTCTGGCATCTATGCACCTGTTAGAGTTAGATGTAGAAATGTTGACTCGTACTGTTATAAATAAGAAGGGTTGAGAAGTTTCTTTCCTTTTTGATGTGGTCTGTGGTGTGGATATAGTATTGATTCTGTGCAACTGTAGAATCTGAGAGAGCTAGATAACAGTTGAACAGTGCGTAGCTGTATGAAATATATAGAAGGGAAACCCCAGTTTGGGGCCACACTTCTCTACACTCTCAGAGAGCAAAACTAAGGTGGACCAGGCCTCAAGTATATGAAATTGATTATATGCATTGTCTGTTTGTTGTACTTAACAGTAATAAATTCTGTTAAAACTTGAAAAGGCCTTTTCCTTTTTTGCCTTATGCAGGGATTGTTCCCTAATGAATAAAACGGACTTCAATATGTGCTTCTCTGTGTCTTTGTGTGCATATGCTACAAGAATTGTGTGGAGAAACATTACAACACTACAAATAAACAGATACTTCAGGGAGCAGATTAAAGAGAGAGCTGCATAACAGTTGTAAAGTGTCTAACTGTACATTAACTCAGCAATATTAACGGTCTGGTCTCATTGTCACTCCCTATATCTGTTATGTGGCCAGTGTTTGCAACTTTTTTAACCTACAGTCATTTTTACTCCTCAAATTTTTTCCTTCACGTTTTTTGTGTGTTTGCATCAGTAATGTGGTGTAGCATGGATTTTGCAGCTCCCTATTTTGTAATTACAGCATTGTTCCTTTGCAGCATTTTTCCTTTGCATGCACTTTGTGAATGTGCCACTGAAACATCTGTCAAATGTTTGCGTTAGTCAAAATTTTGACTGTTTTCAGTGCCTGTTTCATCAGCTTGGCATTGTGTATTTGCATCGGGTTTTCAACTTTCAGCTACCATTGAGTTCAGCCTCCTCCTCACAGTTCGATGTGCATCCGCAAGGCACTTAACCTAAAGTTCTCTACCAGTCTGCATGCATGTGCTTATGTTACTGAGTCCAATTTGGATGAATATATAGCTATAGGGTTAAATGCTTAGACATACTTATTGCCCAAACTTTGGGTGATAAGTAAGACTTTTTTTTAAATGAAATTAAATCACAATATAATTCATCCAGAAATATTGAATGGGAATGTGTAAAATGTGTCCAAACTTAGCACTGGCAGTTTATGCTTATATGGATAAAGAAAAAAGATGTCAAACACTAGAAAGCTATTTTCTGTCTGACAAATTGTTCCATTCTAATGGACATTTTTCATTAAAGGAGACTTTGCTTGTAAACATTAATTTTTTAATGTAGCATGACAGAGCACATAGAAGTGGAGCCAGAGGAATATTCTTTGTTGTGCTTAAAGGTGCTCAAAACCCCAGCACCCGGGCAGTTACTTTCAATGGAAACAGAGTGGTCTGCAGGCTTTTAAGAGAAAATGTCACAAAGAGAGACCAAATGTGTAAAACTTTGGTTTAAAAAAACCTGTTTATAAAGGCTTCCATTATTATGTTTTCACTTAAAGGCAAAACATGCGAATGTAATTAAAGTCAGGAAGTTTCGTGTATTTATACTTTTGCTGAACCATTTAGTTTACTGGCTATTATTCAGTAAAATATGAAACAAACTTGTGACCAAACAATAAATCGCATTTTTGCAGATATCCTGTAAAAGTTGAGCATAGAGATGCAAAATGGGACTGTGCAGATTTGGATTTCTTTTTGTGAAATATTGAAACTGCAGTTAAATATTCCAATCAGTTGCAAACAACACGTCTTTGTGCATATCTGCTGAATAGCCCACATTTAATGGTGCATTTGATTTACCTCTTAAATCATTTAAAAACAACTTTGAAGTCAAAGTAACCTCAAAGGTGATACAGTAGTGTTCCATTTTTAGGCTTGTCGAAATTTTTTTTAAATATATTTTGTTAAACATTTTTGATAATCTTAAAAACCTTTTATAATTGTTTAAGGTTGTTTCTTTCAAGCTCTGCCCAAAAATGTTCTTGAACACTCAGATCAAGGGTTTTTCATGGCTAGCCTAGAGCCTTTGTCTCAGTGGCGACAGTGGCGTTGGATGTAGGAGTTTGCCCTGAAATCAGAGGGTTGACGGTTCAAGCCCCGACTCTGACTTTCAGTGTCGTTGTGTCCTTGGGCAAGACACTTCACCTGCATTGTCTACTGATGGTGGTCAGAGGGCCCGGTGGCGCCAGTGTACGGCAGCCCCGCTTCTGTCAGTGAGCCCCAGGGCAGCTACATTGGCTACAATGTAGCTTGCCACTATCAGTGTGTGAGTGTGTGCGTGAATGGGTGAATGAATGTAGTGTAAAGCTCCTTGGTCAATTCTCCTAACTTGAATAAAGGCGCTATATAAGTACTTACCATTTACCATATCCTTTTAGCTCTTTATTAGTTACTTTTTGGGAGAACAAATTACTAGCAAATAATACTAGTGGCTGGCTAGCTCAAGTGATAAGCCACCCATCCTGCAAAACTGGGTTTGTATCCCAGCTGGGGGTAATGAAAAGAAAGAAGTCTTTATTTTTGGTCTTTTTCAAAAGGTTCTGTTGCTAATGCGCTGGCTCTGGTTGGAAAAGATCGCTAGATGTGCTCCAGGACTACCATCTATGTATACTTCTGTTAATACAGAGCACACTCACTGCTTGTGGCGTCATTGCATCCTCTACTGCTCATGTGAAACACTAAGCTGTACAGTATGAATGCAGTTCACACGGGAGATCACATACAAGTTGTTTATATTTGGAAATGTGAATGACCAAGCAAACCTACCAGATTTCACAGGTTTTTGAGGGAAAACCTGGTCTGATCCGGAGAGACGTTATCCATCCCACTTTGGATGGTGCAGATCTTCTTTCTAGGAATCTATCTGAACTTATTAGTGCTCCAAAACGCTAACAACCCAGGTTGCAGACAGGAGGCAGAGTGTAGTTTAAAACACCTCTCTGCAACTTCTTCACTGTTACCCACTTATAACTCCATCCATACTGTTTCTTGTCCACAACCATCCATCCATTTTCCGGGCAGCAGTGCAACCCACTGCATCACCGTGCAGCCCTGCACACAGCCAAAATCAAATAAATTAGAAAAGAATCCTAAAGGAGAAAATCGTGATAATCTAACTAACATTAAATTAACTCCAATTGATGAAAAAGATAAAATTATTAAATGTGTTTTTTTGCGGGGTATGGAGGACGATCTTTTATTTCCGGATGGATCGTCTAAATAAGGGGTCCTCCTAATTGTCAATTATTCTGGTGATATGTTTATGTAAGGCTGTCCTACATGCTCATTTCGTTAGCTATCTTTTCTGCACACTTTCGAGCGTATATCTGTGATGGGCTAAGTTTCTGACAGCCATTGAAGCTCATATTCTTACCGTGGTTCTTTGACAATAGCCGTGGGTCATAAGAGAAAAAGTGTCTACGAAGTGTATGAGAAGAAAGGCCTCAGAAAAGGCAGATATATTCCGGAATGCTTTGTGCGGAGAGCTCTCCTCGCAAAACATTATGGGATTTGCTGTCAGAGCAGCATGCTGTCACTACCCAACAGCAACAACTAATAAAAGAGATGGCGCAGGCATCTACGGGGAAGTGATCATCTGTCCGAACCGTAAGTTAACTGAGTTTGCTATAAAGTCCACTATGTAGTTTATATAGTGATTGAGGGATTTACGGGTTAGGGCGGACGTTCGGGCACAGTAAGCTTGTATGAGCTATGAGAACAGCAACTTTTAAAAACAGTGTGCACGAGTAGAAATAGGCTTGTGCAGTGGAGAGGGCGGGTCTTTTAAAAAATTCGAGAAGATCCTCCACAACACTCCACAAACTTGGCTGCAGCAAGAGGATTATCTGAGCATAAATGAGGCAACTCAATCTAGTTATTTAAATTTTCCCATATCTGGAAATTCTGGGTGAGGAAAAGGAGTAGTAACAATCTTTTAGTCTGACTTACCGATTACTGGAAAGTCAGTTAATAATTACAACTCTTTTGATTTTTTAACCCTTAGTTTTCCTCTTCCAAATTGCAAAGCAACAAAACTTATTGTAACTGTGCATCGTCCTCCAGGTCCTTACTCTGAATTGTAAGATGAGTTCTCATCTGATTTTGTGTTGAAAACTGACAGGGAATTATTAAACAGGATGGAATTAATTTCCGCTTTTGTGCTGATGATACTCAGCTATATCTGTCTATAAATTCAGATAAGGCTAACCCTTTACATAGACTACAGGCTTACCTGATGACATCAAAACCTGGATGACTCTTGTAGTGGTATAGAAATATATGTATTGCTATACAAATAGCTTTCAGGTGCGAGGTTCAGGTTGGGCAAAGTGGGCGTGGTATATAAGAAGCTGCTGCGCCCAATCGGACACACGTCTTCCTCAAGCTTTGGCTGTGACTCGCGTCTCAGGGACTGACAGTCGAAAGGCATGACATTAGGTGCATGCTGCTCTGATCTTGCTGGTAGGTTTCCCCTCTCTTTGCACTATTGCTGCTCATTCACAGAAGATCTAAAACAGGTGTGATCATAGGCAAAACGTTACTGTGCGGCTCTCCTCCTCGTCGTCGGTTTGTGTGTGTGTGCGCATAGATGAGTTTGTCTGGATTGGGAGGTAAGAAGTAACGCTCATTGTTAGCGCCAATTTGTTGCAGTTTTGTTAAATAGTGACTAACTTTTACAGGTCTCCCCATATTACCATTGCTGCTCTGTTGATATTCCGGATTCTGCGCATCATCAACCTCGGATTGTGGTGGCGGCTGCACGCCCTAATTGAAGTGGTGTTTGGCGTGCGGCAGTGGCGTGCGGCACCGGCGCGCTCCGTTCACCTCCTATTGTTGTGTGGCCAGAGGGTCGCACTGGATTCGGATATTTTAATTTGTTTTTCTTTATTTTTGTCCCAGCCTGTTGGTGTGGTATAACTATTTATATATTTAGGTTGATATTGTTTTCTTTTTGTTGTACATTTTGGCTCGTTGTCTGTATTAATTGTTTTTTTTTCTCTCTCTCTGCTGACAGTGCTGAGGCCCGGCGGCGGTGTTGGTGTGGTGACGGTGTCTTCTTTTTTTTGTGTGTGCCGTGATTCCTGAGTTTGGGTCTTCTCACTGCGTCTGGTGCTTTACAGGGGTTTTGTTTGCTGTGTTTGGGTGGATCCCGTCCTATGGTGGCCCCCTTCCGCCGGTAACCTCAGCTACTGTAGTTACTTTTCTTTTTTTCTCTTTAGTGTTATAAAGAATTGGTTTTAAAAAGAATATTTTAAGAAGCCTCTAATAAAAAGCTGTTTGTACATTTTAAAGTTGTCTCAGATGTCTTAATCCATGCATGAGCGAACTTGTGTGTCCTATCAAAAAGGGGAGTAATATTCCTTGGGTGAAATTCCCAAGGTGGCGTTGTGGAGCAATTTTATTTGGGTTCAGAAATTTATAATTTCCCGATTTCAATCTAGTCTTGCCACATTTTTGGCGTTGCTGGTAGGACTCATGCTTTTTATGAACATCTGAGACAAGTAGTTTTTAAATATTTGTGTTTTTTTCTTCTTTTTTTGTTTTTGTTTGTGCAGATTGGCTAATCCGTCAACAGAGCAGCAGTGGTTTCGTGCAGAGCATCAAAGCGGTGGGTGAGGTGTTAAGAGTTAACCTTAGGTTGTAATTCTGCACTGTAGTAATCACAAGAAGCAGAATAAGCTTGTGATAATTATGGAAGAAGAAATTCAGGAACTTAAAGAGCTGGTAGCAAGCTTAAGAGCTGACAATGAGCGGTTGCGACAAGGACAGGCTAGCTTAAGTGCTCAGCCATCCACTTCTTCAGCATTGCCTAATGCCCCTCCTACACCTAGTCTCCCTGTAGCAGAGAGACTGATTTTTGTGCCTAGAGATAGGAAATGCCCCATCTTTAGAGGAAGGACAGGTATAGGTTTGAGTGAGTGGACTGAGGAAGCAAGATTGTGTATGAGAGCCCGGCATCTGTCTGTAGCTGACCAAGCGTTTTTCCTGTTTGATCACCTGGAGGGAGAAGCTAGAAATGAAATAAAGTATCGCTCTAGTGCAGAGAGAGAGGACCCTGCTAGAATATTTGAGATCCTACAAGAGTTGTATGGTTGTTCTGAGTCCTATGTTGCTCTTCAAGAGGCCTTCTTTTCTAGAAGACAACAAGAGGGAGAGAGTCTTCAGGAGTTCTCCCTCGCATTAATGGGCCTTATGGAGAGGGTAAAACAGCGTGCACCTGCTGGTATGTTGAATTCTGAGACACTGTTAAGAGATCAGTTTGTTGAACAGGTGTTGGACAGTTCCCTGAGACGCGAGTTGAAGCAGCTGGTACGCACAAGGCCTGACAGCACTTTACTTGAGGTTAGGGCCGCAGCAATCCAGTGGGAACGCGAAGGGGTACCTCATGGTGGGAGGAACCGTAGCCAGTCGCTTCCTTCAGTTTATGGCGTCCAGTATGGGGTACATGGTGGTCCTCCGGTAGCTTCTTTAACATCAGCAACGGAGATGAGTCAAATAAGAGAAATGCTAAAGTGTCAGCAAAAGCAGCTCCAGCAGCTTAGTGAGAGCATTTCTCAGTTGCAGAATTTCCACCGCCCTAATCATCCACGCACCACTGGTCCAGTAATCTGCAGGCGGTGCAACCAGCCAGGTCATTTCGCACGAGAGTGTGATGGGGTGCGTGTCCCCCGTCGAACCCAATGTCCGCCAAATTCAGCTGCCCAGTCCCGTTCTGCTTCTGTGGCGGAAAACTAGTTCCCACCGAACTGCTGAGCCACAGTTTGGGTGGGGATGCTATTGGCTCACTAGCCACTATTGGAAGTTCGGGTGCTTCTAAGTTGATTTCAGATTGCCCTCATGCAGATGTAGTCATGGGTGGGGTGACAGTCCCATGTTTGGTGGATACTGGTTCGATGGTGTCCACGGTTTCTGAAAGCTTTTTTCGTCAGCATATGGAGTCTTGGGGTTCAGAGCACCTCCAGTCGTGTCATTGGTTGGAGCTTAGAGCTGCCAATGGTCTTAAGATTCCTTATATTGGCTATTTGGAACTTGATGTACACCTCTGTGGTAAATTGATTCCCCACTGTGGTGTTTTGGTTGTGCAGGACCCTGGCGGTGAGGTCCCAGCTAAGGTCCCAGGTGTTTTGGGGATGAATGTGATCAGGAAGTGTTACCAAGAACTGTTTGGGCAACATGGTGTAGCTTGGTCTTCTGTGTCTGGTGTTTCCGAGGCCCCTCAGTCAGTCATGCAGGCACTGCAGCAGTGCCAGTCTGCCAACTCACGAGAGCCTCGATGTAGTCCTGGAAGGGTTAAGGTCAGGGGTAAAAAGGGCTGTCGGATTCCTGGTGGAGTCATGAAAATTGTGGCTACCACATGTTCTGATGTGTATTCAGGTTCTACTGTTTTGTTTGAGCCTTTAGAGTCTGGATTGCCTTCTGGTTTGCTTGCTTCCCCTGCCTTGGTTCAGGTAATCAGGGGTACAGCTTATGTGCCCATTATCAATGTTGGTACGACAGAGGTGGTGGTATACCCCCGCACTGTTGTTGGCACCTTAAATGTTGTCAATGTTGTTAGTCTCCCGGCAGGAATTACTGAAGTCCCAGCAAAGGTAGCAACGATGGTGTGCCAGACAGCCTCAGTTAATGTGCAACAGCAGGTGGAGGACCTGGATTTGTCCTCTTTGTCTGTGGAAGGACAGGGTCAGGTAAGGTCATTGCTCAATCAGTATATGACAGTTTTCTCCTCTCATGATGGTGACCTGGGCTGTACCAATGTGATAGCCCATGACATTCCTCTGGTCGACGATGTTCCAGTTAAACAACGCTATCGGCGTATTCCGCCTTCAGATTATGAGGTGGTGAAGGACCATATAAATCAGTTGCTTGCTTCACAGATCATTAGAGAAAGTAGCAGCCCATATGCATCTCCCATAGTCTTAGTGAGGAAGAAAGATGGGAGTATTCGTATGTGTGTTGACTATAGAAGACTAAATAGTAAGACCCGGAAAGACTCTTTCCCCCTTCCACGAATAGAAGAATCGTTGGATGCCTTGTCTGGTGCATGCTGGTTTTCTACCCTCGATCTCGCTAGCGGATATAATCAGGTTCCAGTTGCGGAGGCAGACCGTCCAAAAACTGCCTTCTGTACTCCCTTTGGGCTGTTTGAATGGAACCGAATGCCTTTCGGGCTCTGTAATGCGCCTAGCACTTTCCAACGGCTAATGCAGCGGATTTTTGGGGACCAACAGTACCAGTCCGTCCTGTTATATCTTGATGACATTGTTGTTTTCTCTTCAAGTGTGGATCAACATCTGGAGCGCTTGAAAGTGGTGCTGGGCCGACTTCAACAACAGGGGCTTAAAGCAAAGCTCAGTAAATGTTCCTTCTTTCAAAAAGAGGTACGTTATTTGGGACATGTGATCTCTGGTGAGGGGGTTGCTACAGATCCTAGTAAAACTGAAGTTGTAGCCAATTGGCCAACTCCCACTAAGGCCTCAGAACTTCGGTCATTCCTTGGTTTTGCCAGTTATTACCGTCGTTTTGTGGAAGGTTTCGCAAAATTGGCAGCTCCATTGCATAAAGCGGTGGCTCAGTGTGGTGGTACCGGTAAGAAACCTGATCGTGGACTTGTTGCATGCTGGACTGATGAATGTCAAAAGAGCTTTGAAACCTTGAAGGCTAAGCTAACAACAACTCCAGTGCTAGCCTATGCAGATTTCACACAAACCATTTATCTTGGAGGTTGATGCCAGCCTTGGTGGCCTAGGAGCAGTCCTCTCACAAATGCAGGCAGGCAAAGTGAGACCGATTGCTTATGCTAGTCGAGGCTTGAGACCCACAGAGCGAAATATGGCAAATTACAGCTCCATGAAGCTTGAGTTTCTGGCCCTCAAGTGGGCCATGACTGACAAGTTTAGAGAGTATCTGTTGGGAAACAAATGTATTGTATATACTGATAACAACCCTCTCAGCCATTTGTCCACTGCTAAATTGGCTGCCACTGAACAGCGGTGGGCTGCTCAGCTAGCCTCTTTTGATTTTGAGATAAAGTATCGGTCAGGGCGGTGTAATACCAATGCTGATGCACTTTCTCGTCAGCACTCACCTGATCCGCCAGATGTGAAAGCAATGCTCCTAGGTACAGCTTTGCCTAAAGCATTGCAGGATGCTTTGGGGTTTGAAAAGGTTGAGGCAACCCAGGCGGCAGTTGCAGTTTTGCCGCAGCATACTACGGCTGAACTTTGTGCTTTGCAGCATGCTGATCCATTTTTACAGGACTTGCTGGTGTTCTGGAGGAAAGGACAGCATCCCAGTCGAGAGGAGCGAGCCCAGCTGTCCCCGTCCACTTTGGTTCTGCTGCGGCAGTGGGACCGGTTTGTCGAGAGAGATGGAGTTCTCTATCGAAAGGTATTTAGGTCAGATGGTGGTGATGCTGTGTTTCAGTTGGTGCTGCCAAGTGTGCTAATTAAGGATGTTCTGACTAAAGTCCATGAAGAGCATGGTCACCAGGGAGTGGAGCGAACGTTGGCGCTCTTACGGTCCCGGTGTTATTGGCCTCATATGGCCTCTGATGTGGCTCAATGGTGCCAGGCTTGTGAGAGATGCCAAGTGGCAAAGGATGTTCACCCTAAAGCTTATGGCTATATGGGACATTTACTGGCATCACGTCCTAATGAAATTTTGGCCATTGATTATACCACCTTAGAGCCCACCCATAATGGGTTGGAAAATGTTTTGGTCTTGACGGATGTTTTTAGTAAATATACTGTTGCTGTCCCTACACGGGATCAGCGAGCGGCCACTGTGGCTAAGGTTTTGGTGTCTGAATGGTTTTACAAGTTTGGTGTTCCTGCTCGGTTGCACTCCGATCAGGGTCGTAACTTTGAGAGCTTGCTTATCCAGCAGCTGTGTAACTTGTACGGCATAGTAAAATCACAAACCACTCCTTACCATCCAGAAGGAAATGGCCAATGTGAGCGCTTCAATCGGACGCTGCACAATCTGTTAAGAACACTGCCTGTGTCCCGAAAAAGAGATTGGCATGCCTGTTTGCCCCAGGTTCTCTATTGTTATAATACAACTCCTCACCAGTCTACTGGAGAGTCACCATTTCTCTTAATGTTTGGGCAGGAACCTAGATTGCCCCTGGATTTTCTTTTGGGTAGAGTCGAGAGTCCAGTTGGTGGTTCTGTCCATGAGTGGGTTCAAGAACATCAAGCTCGGTTGCAGGTAGCCTTTGATGGGGCTAGGGAGCACCTGAAACATGCTGCAGATCGTCGAAGGCAGACTCATGATACTCAGGTGAAACATCAGCCACTAAAGGAAGGGCAACTCGTTTTTTTGCGTGACTTTACTGCTAGGGGGCCTTATAAGACAAGGGACCGATGGAGCTCTGTGAAGTACAAGGTATTGAGGGCACCAAAGGAGGGTGGCTCTGTTTACACCATTGTGCCTCTGGATGACCAAACTAAAGTAAGACAGGTGCACCGTACCATGTTAAAACCTGTGGTTGGTGTTGTTCCTCCTGATCACATTTCTCCCCATAACTCGCCTCCTGTGGAAAAGGGACTGTCTGAAGATAGTGGCCCCTTTGATTATGATCTGTTTGTTTGTGAACAGCAACCCCTAGTGGTTGCTTCTGCCTTACCTTCTGGTGGGTTGCTGCCTCAAACTCCATCTCAGGACCTTGGGCCACCTTCTCAACCTGCTGCATCTATTGAACCCTCTACATCTTTGGCTGTCCCATCTACCAGCTATGCTGACCCAGTGGCCCTACGTCGCTCCAGACGTCCAACTGCTGGTCAACATACTAATGTGCACCATCTCCCACGGCCAGCAGGAGACATTCATCTTGGGGGCTCTTCTGCATCTTTGTCAACTCAGTCAGCGTTGTTTAGACCTTGGAACTGATTTTATTAGTTTTGAATCAGCCATCGTCGGGTCGACGATGCAAGAAGGGGGGGTAGAATGTAGTGGTATAGAAATATATGTATTGCTATACAAATAGCTTTCAGGTGCGAGGTTCAGGTTGGGCAAAGTGGGCGTGGTATATAAGAAGCCGCTGCGCCCAATCGGACACACGTCTTCCTCAAGCTTTGGCTGTGACTCGCGTCTCAGGGACTGACAGTCGAAAGGCATGACATCAGGTGCATGCTGCTCTGATCTTGCTGGTAGGTTTCCTCTCTCTTTGCACTATTGCTGCTCATTCACAGAAGATCTAAAACAGGTGTGATCATAGGCAAAACGCTACTGTGCGGCTCTCCTCCTCGTCGTCGGTTTGTGTGTGTGTGCGCATAGATGAGTTTGTCTGGATTGGGAGGTAAGAAGTAACGCTCATTGTTAGCGCCAATTTGTTGCAGTTTTGTTAAATAGTGACTAACTTTTACAGGTCTCCCCATATTACCATTGCTGCTCTGTTGATATTCCGGATTCTGCGCATCATCAACCTCGGATTGTGGTGGCGGCTGCACGCCCTAATTGAAGTGGTGTTTGGCGTGCGGCAGTGGCGTGCGGCACCGGCGCGCTCCGTTCACCTCCTATTGTTGTGTGGCCAGAGGGTCGCACTGGATTCGGATATTTTAATTTGTTTTTCTTTATTTTTGTCCCAGCCTGTTGGTGTGGTATAACTATTTATATATTTAGGTTGATATTGTTTTCTTTTTGTTGTACATTTTGGCTCGTTGTCTGTATTAATTGTTTTTTTTTTCTCTCTCTCTGCTGACAGTGCTGAGGCCCGGCGGCGGTGTTGGTGTGGTGACGGTGTCTTCTTTTTTTTTTGTGTGCCGTGATTCCTGAGTTTGGGTCTTCTCACTGCGTCTGGTGCTTTACAGGGGTTTTGTTTGCTGTGTTTGGGTGGATCCCGTCCTGTGGTGGCCCCCTTCCGCCGGTAACCTCAGCTACTGTAGTTACTTTTCTTTTTTTCTCTTTAGTGTTATAAAGAATTGGTTTTAAAAAGAATATTTTAAGAAGCCTCTAATAAAAAGCTGTTTGTACATTTTAAAGTTGTCTCAGATGTCTTAATCCATGCATGAGCGAACTTGTGTGTCCTATCAAAAAGGGGAGTAATATTCCTTGGGTGAAATTCCCAAGGTGGCGTTGTGGAGCAATTTTATTTGGGTTCAGAAATTTATAATTTCCCGATTTCAATCTAGTCTTGCCACACTCTGAACTTTCTGCTTCTGAATGCAGACAAAACAGAAGTTAAAGTCTTTGGACCAGAGTCTTTGAAAAGAAGCTGATTAGTCACATATTCTTTACCATACTTCAAGTTGACAGACAGGTTTTATTTATGTACTTGTATGATTTTTTTTTTTTTTTGCATGTCCTGTCTTACAGTATGGCTATCAAGAGCTGCAGCTATTGAATTAGGTGTTGGATCTCAATAAAAGGCAGAAATATTTCAAATTGGTGGCACCTCCTTAATCCATCTGACAGCTCTCTTCCCACCATTCCCTCAACATGCATTCAAACTTCCAACGTGACTCTTCTGAGCATGCTGCCTCCATCACGTCCATATTGTTACACAGCAACTAATCCTGTTTTTCAAATCCCCTCACCTTGGACTAAATGGAGGAAATCCTTTTGCTGCTGCACATTTCTCTATATGATTCGGCATACAGGATTTCTCCGCCCTCGAGACTGCCTTTGTCTTCTTTCAGCCTAAGTCATCTACTTAAATCCCTATGCTGCATTCATAATCAGAAATGTCTCAAGTTTATAATTGAATGCATTGTTGTGCTAAGTATCTCAAGCAGGCACAAAATCATAGAGACAAATAGGACAACCCCCTATTTTCTTTCCTTTCTTTTGCTTTCACAAAGTTAGTGCTTTATTTATTGCTCAGTTTGTTTATTGATAGAGATAAGGAATTTATGATGACATCCACTTTCCTGTAAAGCCAAATTGTTATATAAAGAAAGAGAAGAAGATGGCTTTACTAATGCATGCATGTATCCCTGCACTGCATAAGTAAAGGGATTTTCTATCTGTTGAAATGTAATGTATGTAATATGCCGAACATGACAAATGTTTACAGTAGCAGGATGAGGCCTTCTCAATATTGTACATAGGAGTAACCACCCTAATCACAAATAACAAATGATTAAGTTGTATAAGTGTGTTAAAATGAGGGCATGAAATAGTTATTCACTGCTTACTGCTCAACTGAATACCCATAAATGCTTTAGTGGCATCATGGGATTTCATCAAGGTTGCATCTTTAATGACGTCTGCTCATACATTCTGTCCCTTAGGGTATATGTATATGTATATGTGAGCTCTTGGCTGTTAAGGTTAACATTTTGTAAGTGTAAGTAATGATACTGCATACGAGTGGGGCTAGAAGATTAAAGAAGAGCATTTTGCATAGGTCCGGTAACTGACAAAAAGATTTGCACAAGTGTCAAGCACTTCCATGTCTTTCTTTTTTTTCATTGGATCATTGGATATAATAAGCAGAATAACAAAAAGTAGTTATATTTAACTGCCTTTTCTTACTATTTAGAGCTGGTATAGTGTTTATTAATTTGATTATTTACAAATAAAGGCAAAGGTTCTAAGTGTTATGTTAGTTTTACTTTATTACAGAGAAATAAATTTGACTGAACATTTTGGGACCAAAGTTATTTTTAAACTGGTTTGCATGACTTCAAGTGAAATAAATACTTTATTCATTAAAGTATGACTAAGCAAAGCACTAAGACATGTTCTGTAGCTGCAGCAGGTTGTTACACATCTCAGTATGAATTTCTGAATATCTATCCTTTACGAAAACTCAGTCACCTTGCTTAATCTGAATACACCAAAACACCAGTGCCTAGCTTCTATCCCTTCAATGTCATGATCTGCCCTGATAGCTCACCTTAATTACTCATGCCTTTCACCTGCGTAACTCTGTCCAGCTTCTAATTATCACTCATCTCGTTAACCTTCAGGTTTCCCTTATATTTGGCTCAGTTTCAGCTATCATGGCCAGAGAAATATCAGCTGTGCTGCTTCCATCAACACCCTTGTTTATAGATGCTAGAGATTGGCCTGTTTTCCAGTGTTGTCCTGTTTCTCTCACTGTGACTGGCTGGATGTGCTCTTTTCATCCTCTGACATGGAAGTTGCCTCGGAGCTCATCTGCTTGGCTGTGTGTTTCCTGGATGGGGCCGCCTTTTACAGCTGCTTTTTGTATCTCTGCTTCTGTCTTCTTGAACCCCAGTCGGCCTCGGCAGATGGCCGCTCACACCGAGCCTGGTTCTGCTGGAGGTTTCTGCCTGTTAAAAGGGAGTTTTTCCTCTCCACTGTCGCTACAAGCATGCTTAGTGTGAGGGATTGCATTGGAGTCAATGAGTCGATGCAATCAGCTGGTTTTCCTTAGATAGAAAACTTTGAATCAATTTGATTGTATGATCTGGTTGAACTGTGAAATGCCTTGAGATGACTTGTGTTGTGAATTGGCGCTATAGCAATAAACTGAACTGAATTGAATAGATCATTGTTTGATGTTTATTGGATTTCTGTTAGTTCCCTGTTTGCCTTCTGTTAGTATCCGGTCTGTCAGTTTTAGTTATTTCCAAGGTTCATGTCCCCATTTCCAGTAGGAAATAATTTTTCAGTCCATGTATTCAGGCTAGTTTAATCCTTAACCAGTGGTGAGAGCGTTTCAGCATTTCCAGAGTGATTCTGTTTTCCTGATTCCGTTCCGTCTCACCCACTGGCCTTGTCTGATCTGCCTGCCTGAACCTCTGTTGGACTCCTGCTGGATTCTACCTGTCTGCATTTCTGTCTGAGCTGGATGCTCGACGCACAGACTCCGAACCTGCCTTTGGGCTCTGATGGATTCCTGGAACCCGGATCTGTCTGTTCCTAAATGGACTGAACTGTTAATCCAGGTAAGTGACTGACCCTAATTATATTCTGTTCAGATGATTGTGGTCACTTCCCTGTGTTTCTCTCTACAGAATCAGTGATGGGCTGCGCCCCGCATCTGCGGACGCAGTTCCACAGCAATGCAAGCCTAGGTATAAGCCCTAGAATGAAACAACAGGTTTGTTTTCTTTTTACGGTATGTTCATGTTTATTTAGATGAGCTGTGCTCTGGTTGCTTTACAACGAGCGAAGCTGCTAAACAAAGACGCATCATAGCAACAAGCACTCACTGAAACTTCAAATTGTTGATATGGTAGGGTGACCAGACGTTGTCTTTTTCCTGGACATGTCCTACTTTTCATACCAAGAAAAAACAAACAGATGGTTTTTGGTGGACTACAGTGCAGCAGAACCGAGTCGCCAACTCCAATGCTGGTCCGCAAACTGGGGAAGGGAGTCAGCAGGGGACGGAGGGACCAAACCCAACCGGGTGACGGTATGCTTCCCTCACCTGGTTGGGTTTGGTCGTTTGAACTGAATGGGATTTGAACTTCTCTGTACATTCATTTGACCCACTGAACTATCTTTATTCACCTATGACAATGTAAACTCGGTTTTGTATTCTGTGATCCCTTTAAGGAATATATCTTAGAGCCTGTCTTTTTCATTCAGGTATAAATATATCCCGATATAAAGGCTCTTTTCTCTTCAACATTAGATATGAGGACAGGTGTTTTACTAAAAAAAATGTTTATCATATTAAACAAAGAAAATATCAGATTCATAAATGTTATTAGTTTAATTTAGTTTATGGATTTAGCTCCAATTTACAACAATAAATCTCAAGGCACTTTACAGGCTCAGTCAAACCCCATAGGCAGATTGGTTCGAAGTTTTCTACGTAAGAAACTCTGCATCACCCCTCCTGACTTAACATGTAGCAACAGAGGAGTTGCTTGAATTGTTTCATTGACTTTACAGCAATCCTTCATCCTGAGCTTGAATGTCTTCAATTCATTACAAAGTTTAACAATTGTAACAACAAGAAAGGAAAGTAAGGGGATTCCATATATTAATTTTGTATTTTATATATTCTGAGGTCTTAAAGTATTGTTATTGTTTTCCCTTGCTTTCATGTTTGGTTTACTGTCTTTACCTTGAGATATACCTTTAAATCCGCGTTTGAACATAGAGACATTTCTCCCACTTCTCCTGCTTTCAGCCCATTTCAGTTCCATCAGTCATTACAGTTCAACCTGGTTTCCTGTGTGTCCTTGCAGTGCTGTTTAATGGTGTAACTTTGTTTTTAGTCTAAGTTGAAAGTCACATTCATTAAATATATACTTACCTTTATCTAACCTGCATCCTGCCTTCATTTAGGTTCTATATTGGCACAAAACCTAACATAAAATGGGAAGTTAAAATACACTTGAAAGCTCTAATGTAGACCGCTGCAGCAAACAAAGTTTCTAACCTCTATTAGAATTTTAGATTTAAGTTTCAATTTTGCGCCTAAGTCAGATGAGCCTAACAGTAGCAAAACAAAATACATGTAGGTATTGTTCAAATTAAAGGATGACTATGAGGGAAAGCATTTTATGCCAGCTAAAGTATATGTTTGGATATGTAGTGCTGTGGGCCTGTTTCTCTTCCAGATTTAATAGAAGAAGAAAAGGGGTGATATTAAACTCTTTAAACAGATTAACCACACAAAGCACTACAGATACAGATACAGATTTTGTTTAAAAGACTATCTTTGTAGACCTAAATCCTATAGAAAACATGTAAAGGGAATTTAAGAGAAGAAGGCATAAAACAAGAGACTAGATGATCTAGACACAAAGTGCAAAAATAAAAACTTGAATATCCTCTCTTTGTATGCTCCAACCCTTTACATTGTTCTATTGTAAAAAGAGATGGTCCTATTTGTAAAAAGAGAAGGAACGCATGTTCTTGAAGTCCCATTCTGCACTTTAGTAAGGTTTTCTCACAAGAAGAAAAAAAAAAACGCCTTCCCTCTCTTATTATACAGACTTCCAAATGTTAATCAGCTGAGTATTTGGCGTCACTTGTGGTAAAACTGATGAAGATAAATTATACTTTAAACCAAATTCTATTAAGCAGATTTGGCATATCCATCAATGCAACACTTGATGTTAGCTATAATTGTGTCATCTTTCTGGCTTGTGTTTGGGGGCAACTGATTAATCTCATGTGAAAGGATCACCCATAGGTTAACAAAGCTGTGACTGCATTTGTGTCTTTATTAAAATTTGAGATGTTTTACAT